CACTGTGGAGTCTCCTGCCCTAGAAGTTTTGAGGCAGGTCCTGGATGACCATCTGCCAAGAGTGCTTTGATTGTGTGTTACTGCATGGTAGAGAATTGGACTTGATGGCCCTTGTGGTTTCTTCCAACTCTATGATTCTATGAAATGTCCCTAGGTTTGGAGCACCCCAAGTTCTCAGTCAGAGCCTCTTCTTCTTCAGGCTTTTCATTCAGCTGTGTCTCATATTTCTAATGTAGAATGGCATACAACACTGTTCTGTTGGAAATGGGTGAGTAATATAAGTGGTGAATTTATAATAACACTGAAAAGGTAGACATCTGGAGTACAAATCAGAAGTTCTAATTTGTGCTTTTACTGGAGATAGGCTCTATTTCAAATTCAGACTGTTCTGCAATAATTACAGCATATTTATTAAGTTGTTATCCATTCATTGTATGAACTGAATCATGCTGCTAGGAAAACTTAACTCTATGTAATCCTTGTCAGTATTTATTAAAGCTCACTTGCAAAAAGAAAAGAGCAGAGGGAAATCATACTTACTGATGACAGATTGCACTGAATAACAAAAGTGTGTTAATGTTGGTTGGTGATGCTTTCATTTTCTCTCACTCATATCATGATGGTTTCTTAATTTCATAAGTTCATGACCAGAATTCAGTATCACACTTATGGATGTGTAACCTGGAATTATGAATCAGTAACTGATACATATTATTTGTACATACTAGTCATAATAATGGCACTATTGCCCAAACCTATTTTATCAAAAAACAGCAATGAGAGGAGATCAATTCTGCTGGTAACAGAAGTACAGGAACTTTATCTCATGAAGTCACTAACTTTTGCAGTCATGCAGTTATAGGCTGATAAACCAGCCAGTCCACCTCCCTCCAGCCACAGCCATCCAAGCAGCCTCCATCCAAGGGGTGCATCAATGGTGCTACGGTATCCTTCTCCTTTCCCCCAAAAGTCCTGAGCATGTTTTCAATTTGTGCGTTTAGACCCGTGATGGCGAACCTATGACATGCGTGTCAGTAGTGACACATGTAGCCATTTCTACTGACACGCGCCGAAGGTCCACAATTGCTTTGGCTGGAGGAGGAGGCAGAGGTGCCTTTGAAGAAGAGGAAGAAGCAAATCAACAAAACAAACTTTAGGGGCATCACCACTTGCTCTGGTGGGTGGGGCCATTACCTCTCCATTCCCTCGTGGCTCTGAGGAGAGCCAGCATTGGCTCTTTGGAGAACCAATAGCGAACCAACAGTGAACCTTTTCCAGGGAGGAACGCCAAACGAGGCGGAGCACTTTCCGATACTGTCAGTCATGCTCAGTAATGAGCCCCCACCTTGAATGTGGGACTCCACTTCCCAGAAGCCACTGTCGTCTTCCTCTCCTTCCTCCTCTGCCAAAGCAGCAGCAGCGAGAACAACACGACGTTCAGCCTGCAAAGGCTGACTGGCCACCTGACAGGAGTGCCTTGATTGTGCTTTTCCCTTATGGCAGGAGGTTGGATAAACATCCTGCATATCAGAGATTTACATGACGATTCATAACAGTAGAAAAATTACAGTTATAAAGAAGCCACAAAAATAATGTTATGGTTGGGGGTCACCACAACACGAAGAACTGTATTAAGGGATTGTGGCATTAGAAAGGTTGAGAAACACTGCACTACTGGCTATTAGGAATTGTGGGAGTTGAAGTCCAAAACACAAGGAGGGCCCAAGCTGGCCCATGCCTGCTTTAAAGAATAGCCATTATATTTAATTCTATTGTAATATTTCACATATTTGTAGATTTGAAATTGTATTGAAATGTAAGCTGCTTTGCCCCCTTCCACACAGCTGTATAAAATCCACACTTAACTGGCTTATATGGCAGTGTGGACTCTGTTAATGCAGTTCAAAGCAGATATTGTGGATTATCTGCCTTGATATTCTGGGTTATATGGCTGTTTGGAAGAGCCCTTTCAGAGCCCCATATCCCAGGATCTGATCCCAGGTTTTCTGTTTATCCCAGATTATCTGGCAGTGCAAACTCAAATAATCCAGTTTAAAGCAGAAAACCTGGGATCATATCCTGGGATATAGGGCCTTTCTGGAAGTGCCCACAGTCTCCTTGTGAAGACAAAAAGTGGTGTATAAATAAGCATAATAATAATATTGTAGAACAGAAATCTGTTCCTGGTTTGAAATTGTTATTTTCTGTTTAATTGTGCGGCTCTTACTTTGAAAGTAGTAGTTCTCCAGAAACTTTGTGTGGCTGCCACAAACTATGATGACAAGAGGTCATGGGAATTCGGCCAATAGGCTGATCAGTAAACATATTCATGGGTTCCCTGCTGTTATAGTTAGCCTGTTACCCATGCTACGACATACTTGCAGTCAAAATTTCGTTTATTTGTAATTAGAAATAAATGTTTCACAATTTATAAAATAAATGTTTCACAATATTCCCATGTAAACTATAGTCCAGCCCTCCAACAGTCTGAGGGACAGTGAACTGGCCCCCTGTTCAAAAAGTTTGAGGACCCCTGGTTTAAATAATGGTCAAACATTTTGCCTCTTCTCAGTGGAGAAACCAAAGATTTCTTATAGAACAGAGCAAAGGGGGAATAAGAATCAAGAACAAACTAAAATACTTGGGAGTAATAATAACTAAGGATTTAAAAGAGATAGAGGAAGTAAATGTAGTAACATTAAGGAAAGAAGTCCAGAAAAAGTTAATAGAGTACGAAGGAATACGCTTATCATGGTTTGGAAGAATAGCATTAGTAAAAATGAAAATACTTCCAAAAATAAATTTCATATTTAGGATGCTACCACTTCAAATTACAGAAGAAGAACTAACTAGATGGCAACAAATGATTAATAAGTACTGTAATGGAAGTAAAAGGAACAGACTAAATAAACAATTATGGTATAGATCGCAAAAGGAGGGTGGACTGGCGTTACCTAATATAAAAAAATATTACGAAGCAAGTAGATTAAGTTTGGTTATAGAAGGAATGGTCAAAGAAGAGGGAATAGATTGGCTTAGTAATGATTCAGGAAGAGTGGAAGATGAAACTTGGAATATATTTTTTAAACAGTTTACTAGAAAAGAAATGAGGGAAATTAGAAACCCAATGTTGAGCAATGTATTAGAAGTATGGAACAAATATAGGAGAATGTTAATAATGGACAGTTCAGTAATGACCCCAATTGTAATGGAAAAGAAATTTCCAAAAAATCTAAAAAAAAAGTAATGGATAAAAAGGTAAGGGAAATAAATTTAGACAGGATAGGGGATTGGATGAAGGTGGAAATGAAGAGGGAAAGGATGTTGGAAGAGTTTAAAGAAATAAAATTGTCATGGTTTCATTGTATACAATTAGAACAATGGGTAACAAATTGGAAAAAAAATAATAGAAGTGAAAGCCAACTCAGTCAATTCGAACAAATAATACAGAAGGGAAGGACTGTAGAAGAACACGAAAACTTGAGAGGTATAATTAGCAAAATTTATAAGATAATTAATTGAAATGAAAGATGAAAAAACAAAAAAGTGCACCCTTAAAGAGATTTGGGAAGAAGATTTAGGGATAAAAATAAGCGAAATAGAGTGGCAACAATTATGGGGACAAAGACATTTAAAAAATTTATCGATACGAGTTAAAGAAAATTATTACAAGTTAATATGGAAGTGGTACTTGACACCGGTAAGAATAGCATATATGAATAAAAATAACTCAATAAATTGTTGGAGAGGGTGTCAAGAACCAGGAACATATATACACATGTGGTGGCAATGTAAATATGTAAATAATTTTTGGGGGAAAGTATTTAGAGAAATAGAAACTATAATGAATATAAAACTAGATAAAAGTCCTAGTATAGCATTACTATCACTATATAACGATAAGCAATTGAAAAAGGAGGATAAAGAAGCGATAACAAACTTACTAACTATAGCAAGACTGCTTATAGCAAGGAATTGGAAAAAAGAAATGAATATACAAATAGAGGAGTGGTATAAAGAAGCATGGAAAATAGCAATAAACGATAAATTGACATGTATATTAAAGGTTAAAAAAGGTATATGGAAACAAAGCGATTTTGATGCTGTATGGGGAAGATTTGTGGTAAATGGATTAAAAAATAAGGAAGGAAAATTACCGTCACAAGAAGAAATGAAATTTTGGACAGATGAAATGTAAGAAGGGTGGCTTGAAATGGGTGGAGGGGAGCACTGTGGTGGGAAAAGGGGGGGAAAAATGAGAAAAAAAGGGGGAGAAATGTTAGAGTAAAATAATAAAATAACATGTTAAAGAGGTTGATGTACAAAATGTAATAGTATGTAATAAAGTGATAAATCAATAAAAATTTTATAAAAAAAAAAAAAAAACTCTGTGATGAATTGCTTTACAAAGACAACTAACGAATACCAGAGGCATACTCTTGGTTCTAATTTCCAATGGCTTCCAGTTGTTTTCCAGCAGTGGCATCACAAAACAGCTGTAAGAACACACAGAAATCTATGGCAACATCATTTTCTCCTGATGTTTTGCCTGCATCTATGGCAGGCATCCTCAGAGGTTGTGAGGTCAGACCTCACAACCTCTGAGGATGGCTGCCATAGATGCAGGTGTGAATGTTGTAAATGGCCACTTTGATTAGCATTTAATGGTCTTGCGATTCAAAGCCTGGCTGGTTGCTGCCTGGGGGAACCCTTTGTTGTGAGGTGTTAGTTGGCCCTGATTGATTCTTGTCTGGAATTCCCTTGCTATTTGAGTGTTGCTCTTTATTCATTGTCCTGATTTTAGAGTTTTTAGATGGTTTTGTTCAAGGTCTTGTGAGAGTAAGATCAACATACTTGTAGAAACAAATGTTTTTGTGGTAAGAGCCCTAGTTCCTTACACATTAGGTTTCTTATATTGGGGTAACATGATGGTAATGGCTACACTAGAGAAATGACACACACAACACTTACAACAGTTGGTAGTTTCTTTTTACAGGAAGTTTACATGGCAGGTTTGTTTATTTATACACGGAGTTAAAAAATACAAATATTTTATTACAAAAAAGCATTATCAAACTGTGTACATACCATAGGGTTTGTCAAAAGCCAACCTGTCATATTTTTAACCTTTATATACATTAGGTTAACATATGTGGCATGCTAAGTAATAAGAGTACTGTCCCCAGATTCATGTTAGATACCTAAAGTTCTATAGACTTTTGGCAATAGTCAGTTTTTCCATATCAGCAAATCCACTTTCCCTTAAACTTGTGAACTGTTCATTCTTTTAAGCCTGAGGAATAAGGACCAATTGAATTGGCAAGCTGAAGACTACAGTTCACCAACGCATAGATGTGTCAAGATTCCCAGCCACAGTGATGTGGGATAAAATGACCATATAATGAATAATTTCAGCCACAAGGGGCATGTCGCAATTAAACCTCAATTTGCATCCTCATAACTGGGCTGTAATGCAAGATTAGTGCAACATGTGGACAGCTGCAGGACAATATGTTTCCTATCTATTGATTGCAAGGGAATATATTGCTCATTCTTCAATTGTTTTCCTTGTCAAGGCAAGAATTTGAAGCACGAGTTAAGTTGTCAACATTAAGGGCACTGAACTTTGTTGTAGCTCTTATTCCCACCCAAATCATGGTAGATAAAATTAAAGAGACAAGTCAGAAAAATACTCGCTTGTCATTTAAGATGTTTAACAAGATGTTCTTCCACAGTATTTGTCCAGGGCTCTTGAAGCAGAACATTCTCCATTCTGAGCATACCCATCAATTGCAATGATGCTGTGTGCTGGAACTGATGCTGGAACTGATGCAAATACAGCAGTTTGTTTTGGACATATTGGGATTGTAATTTAAGACTTCAAGACCTAGTCCAGCTACATGTTAAGATTCCAGATTTAGCACCAACCTAACTAGCACATAAAAACACTTTTGGCAGTCCATTCCATTAGATACAAGCTTTCTCTGAAAACCCATATTAATGGATATTAAAGTGCACATAACCACCAAGTAATGTCTTCTCCCCCACCCCGACAAGAATACCTTCAACATGCCTCAGACATGTGCAGTAAAGCTAAAAGATCTTACTCCTGGATGCTAAGCTTATAAATGCAAACTTTCTAAGGGTCTGAAGCTGCAAACATGATAATTCCATATCCAATATACAGTTACATTTCAATTGGCTACAGATACATTTTTTCACCAACGAATATGCACTAAAACTTTTGGATCGCTTTTTTTCCAAGGATGGGCAGTCTTACTGGGACAGAGGGGAAGGATTAATACTAAGAGACATAATGCCATCGCTTCTGCACTTCATAGCAATCTGGTGTCCACTATTAACTATGTTTAATTATTACCATCAATGTCAATAACAAAGTACCTGTGTTTTGTTATTAACCAGAATCCATAACATCGCTAGAGCAACTTGAGGAGGGGGATCCAGTTTTCTTCACTGTTCATTTAAGAATATTTCACAATCAAAATACATCAAAGTAACATTTGCACAAGTAACATGTTTCCAAGACAAAATGGATGGGGAACAGTGAAAAATAGTGATGAACTTCACAATTACTACACCATCATATCTTTTTTTTAAAAAAGTAATACCACTTTGTTTCCATTTTACATAAATGGTTTTTGGACGACATTCATGGAAGCCTGCATGCCCATATGATGGAGGACCAGTTACACACCCAGATAGTGTTTTTGACAGCATCTTCACTATGCCATTCGTATAATACGAAGCAATTTAAAAAATGCTGTGTACATTTAGCTATGAGAACGGCTGCAGAAGAAACTGAAAAGACCCCTGCCAGCCAGCTGTACATACATTTCTCTCCCATACAAACACATAGCTTTGTAGGACTGCAGGCTCTTAGTCAGATGTTCGTACACTCTCCAGTAGACAGTTGTCTGTCTTGGGTGCTGGATCCAAATTAGAGGCAAGACGTTATGTTCAACCTGATTATGTGTCACTTATTCTATGACATACGTATGGAAAATTACTTACACTACTACAAATACACAGATACTGCCACAAAAATAGATGAGAACACAGAGTAAATACATCTTTCATCTCATGGCACTTCAAGCAGGATAACACTGTCTGGCTGGTTTTAATGGTCAGTTGTGATTATGTTTGATTGAATATTTTCCTTTCTGTAGCTGAGAAATATACAGTTTGGATTTGCTTCCATCAGGCCTCTTAAACCACACTTCATCATGGTTAATTGTTGTAATTATGGCACTGAAAAGAAAGGAGGGGGGAGAGAAATCAGGAGCACATTAGTGTCCATATAAAACTACAATATCACCCTAAACTGCATTGCCATTTATAAACAGTACTGTAATTATTGGTAATAGAACACACAAGCATTACAACAAGTGCCTCATTAAATTAAAGACGGCTAATAGAATGCTGTAACACTGATACTGGAGGTATACCAAACATCATTGCATTTGTTTATAAAACAGTCATTTCTTTTAACAGCTCCCTTAAAGAAAGAAAGGCAGACAGACAGACGCATACATGTTATTAGCAGAAGAGTGAGTGGCTGGAAATAATCTACCGCCAGCAGGATACTCAAGAGTCAAGCAACAATCCCACCAAAAAAGCCTAAGATACAGTTGCCTTGCATCTTTGGGATCTGCTGGGATGTGGCTCCAAGATCATTAGCACCACCATCAACCCCATTTGACTACAAAAAACAATGGGTGACCTTGAGCAAGTCTCACTCACTCAGCCTCACAGGAAAACAAACTCCTCTGAACAATCTTGGCAACAATACCTCTCAATACAGTAATAGTAAGGCAAACCTAAGTCAGAAATAACTTAAAGGCCCACAATAACCCCAAAGATTATATTCACATTAAATTATTGTTGTAACCTCACTATAAAACTAGAATGATGCATTATCATCCTACAATACTGCATTGCAACAACACTTATGATAATATTTCTAAATATTCTGATACAAGAACTATCCACTTACAAAGCGTCTATCTGCAAGGATTTATGTTGACCATGTGACTATGTCGCAAGCTGGCCCTCTCCATAGTAAGTGAAGTCTTGAAAACACTAGCCTGCATGCTCAGGAAGCACAAAATCCAGAAGAACGCATAACAAAGTCTTTATTTTGATGCTAATCAGCACAACGAAATGGCAGCCACCTCTCCTCAAAAATCAACACTGACTGAAATACAAGACTGCCTAAGCTCTGCAAGTGCAGAATTTTCCAGATGAAGCAAAGAGTGTTTGTGGACTGGGACTTTCGTAGGAATACTAAGGGGCTTGTTTATAAAGCTATTGTCCTCCCAACCCTGTTATATGCCTGTGAAACGTGGACCATCTACAGATATCACCTCAACTCCTGAAACAATTCCATCAGCGTTGCCTCCAAAAAATCCTGCAACTCTCTTGGGAAGACAGGCGGACAAATGTCAGTGCTGGTGGTCTTTGCTGGAAGAAGCAAAGACCACCAGCACTGAAGCAATGCTCCTACGATATCAAGTCTGCTGGACTGGCCACCTTGCCTAAATGCCTGATTACCATCTCTCAAAGCAGTTACTATCCTAACAACTCAATAACGGGAAACATAACATTGGTGGACAGGAAAAGAGATTTAAAGATGGGCTTAAAGCTAACCTTATAAACTGTGGTACAGACACTGAGAACTGGGAAGTCCGTGCCCTTAAGTGCTCTAGTTGGAGGTACGAATGGAGGGTGAAAGAGAGAATTGTGCCAAGAGGAAGGGGCATCAAGCCAACCCTGACTGGGACTGCCTTCCACCTGGAAACCAATACCCTCACTGTGGAAGAGCATGCAGGTCAATAATAGGGGCCTACAGTCACCTATGTATCCACCAACAAGACACTACACTTGGAAGGCCATCATACTAGGACAATGAGGACAATAATAGGACAATCGCCTAAGTAAGCATGTAACTCCAAGCCGGGCTAATTGCTTATAAAAAGCTTTCTGTTTTAGGCCAGCTGTTCTTTCCATCCAACTCTTACTTATCTGTTGCCACGATAAGAATCATAGAGTTGGGACCACAAAGGGACATCCATTTCATTCCCCTGCCATGCAAGAACACACAATCAAAGCACCCCAGACAGATGGCCATCCAGCCTCTGCTTAAAAATCTCCAGAGACTCCCCCACTCTACAAGGCAGCATATTGCATTGCCAAACAGCAAGATCTAAGAGGTTTTAGTCAACTCTTTCTCTCATTCTTCAATGGTCTCCCTCTCAACAATTCCTCCCTTCCAGCCTTCTTTCTTCATTCTCCCACCTTCCTCCAGCTGTTCTCTACGTTTTCCCTTATCAAGCACTGCTCCACAGCTTTACCTTCTCTTCTCCACCCCCTCTGAAATTCCAGATTGTTTATAATTAACTCTTCCATCTTACTGTGGTCTTCCAGACTCAACTCAGGATTCTCTGCTTGGGTGGTTCCTTCTCTACCTGCAACCCTATTAAAGACTGGCAAAAACAAACTAACTAGCACTAAGTTTTCTTGAGGCTTAGAGCATTAGGTTTCCTTAAGACTTAAATTCTTTAGGTGGTGACAGTGGGAAACCCAAGAAGATGATGCATTAAGTTGAGTAAGACAGAGTTAAACAATATAATATGAAGGTACCTCATCATATAAATAAAACAACTTTGTTTACATGCTTAATTATTCATAAGAAGAGTAATCTGCACTACCTTTACCTTGTAGGACATTCATCTTTCCTATCAATACATATTGTCTGTCCACGTCCATACCACTCCCCATTATAATAGAGTCTCCCTTCTTCCGATCTTGCATTATGTGGGTGCTTTTCCAACTTGACAGGGGCTGAAAAAAATCAGTGTACACAATGTTTACAAAACAGCATTAAATTTAAGATTTACACTTCCCTTCTTGTTCACTTAAAGACCAACATTCTGGTACATATATTTTTTACTAGAACTATTATCATGTAAATAAATTCATTTATGAGTTAGCTAGTTTGTAATTTAAACAGCATTAATTACTGATTGAATATTGTTATTCCATTTGTTTTTGTTCTGAGACAACCAGGTATCCTCTCTGTCATTGTAATGGGTATAATTAAAATCTTCTCATATCAAACCCTTAGACCCTGTGCATGAGAATGCTTTAATTATTACACATAAAAGATTGAGGTAAAGCAAGTATTAAGCGCAATGTTCTTACGTTCTGTTTTCACTCTGTGCGGCCCCAATGTAGCCATTGCCTGAAATTAAAAAAAATTGAAAATCCATGACCCTTTCCAATAAAATCAACTCCTAAAGAAACTCCACTTCAAAGAGCAAGTTCATGACATCTCGTACAAGAAGATAGCTGTAAGTGCATATAACAGCCTATTACATCACTCCAAACCAAAGGCAAGTAGGCAAACAATAAAAGATATCTATATCTGCACTTAAAAGAGATGTGGGTTTATTTCTTTGTACAAAACTGTTCTGCTAACTCTGTAACTGATACTTAAGAACTCTTGACTATTTTGAGATAATAAGATTATGGTACATGACCAAAAATAGCTCATTTTTTCCAAATCTTCTATATCTATTCCTTGATATAACTGGTTGCCTAGATTTCTACTGGGCCTGATGGCATGCAGCAACTTTCCAAATTAAATGCTAAGTATCTTCCCAGATGTGTCCTTTCCTCCTAATGTAAGGATGGGGAAGAGAGAGTATGCTCTTCAACTTTAGAATGGATTCATCTTTGTTATCAAGTAACCCTGAGATATTTCAAACAAAATCACCATTGTGTTGTCAAAGGCTTTCATGGCTGGAATCACTGGGTTGCTTTTTTGCAGGCTGTATGGCCATGTACCAGAAGCATTCTCTCCTGACATTTCACCCATATCTATGGCAGGCATCCTCGGAGGTTGTGATGTTTGTTGGAAACTAAGAAAGTGAGGTTTACATATCTGTGGAATGTCCAGGGTGGGAGAAAGAACTCTTGTCTGCTTGAGATAAGTGTGAATTTTGCAATTGGCCATCTTGATCAGCATTTAATGGCCTTGTAGCTTCAAAGCCTGGCTGACTGCTGTCTGTAGGGATCCTTTGTTGGGAGGTGTTAGTTGGCCCTAATTGATTCTTGTCTGGAATTCCCGTTTGAGTGTTGCTCTTTATTTACTGTCCTGATTTTAGAGGGTTTTTTGACACTGGTAGCCAGATTTCTTCATTTTCATGGTTTCCTCCTTTCTGTTGAAACTGTCCACGTGCTTGCAGATTTCAGTGGCTTATCTGTGTAGTCTGACATGGTGGCTGTTAGAGTGGTCCAGCATTTCTGTGTTCTCAGATAATATGCTGTGTCCAGGTTGGTTCATCGGGTGCTCTGCTATGGCTGACTGCTCAGGTTGAATTATTCTGTAGTGCCTTTCATGTGTCCAGAACCAACCTGGACGCAGCATATTGAGAAAACAAAAATGCTGGACCACTCAAACGACCATCATGTAGACCAACTCTAAAATCAGGACATGCTTCACTTATAATCTAAAACATGTGGATGAAGTTTGTCTTAAAGTTTGCAAATCGTATTCTAAATAGGATTCATCTATATTCATTATGCTATAATCAATATAAAAATATAATCACACAGAAACTACACATCAACACTCATTCTGAAAGTCATTGTCCAAAACTGGAACTCTGCACTTTATACTCTACACAAAAGAAAACCACATGGTTGTTCACTCTTGTGCTGGCCCAAGACATTTACACCTAAGATAACATATAAGTGTCCAATTCCACGTTAGATCCCAGTTACATGCATAGACATCAACATTTCCTTTTGAAAACATACAGTCAGAGACATTCAACCTTACCTTCCTTATTGTTGTCCAATCTTCCAATATATCAAGATCCTGTAGCATATACACTATATAGGGTCGTTAGTGTGTTAAGGGAATTGCACATCTCTAAAGTGGATCATAACAAATATACTAGAAGACCAGAGTGTTGTGTGGTTTCTGGGCTGTATGGCCGTGTTCTAGCAGCATTTTCTCCTGACTTTTCACCTACATCTGTGACTGGCATCTTCAGAAGATGTAATGGCAGTAAAGCAAGAGGTGTGTATATGCACAACACAAATTGGCACCTAACACCTGCATAGAAGGTGCAGTTACATTTCTGTCCTTCCTGTTGTCTTTCCAAAGCCAACTCGTTTGCCACATCGGGAACTGACTGTTCGATCTGATCCAGCTGGGTCCTTCCTATGCTTTTATACAGTTCAGAGTTTCATAAAGCACTGTCCATTTTCCCCTTGCAGTCCATTTGATTCCCCAGGAGCAGCAGGAAAACAGCGGACCCTACTCATAGAAATAGCATTCCCTGCAGATGCGTTTATTTAGCTGTACCCCATCACCAGCTTTGCACAACTGTGTAGCACAGCTACTCAGAAAAAAAATGTCCATCCCAATTCTCTCACAGGACCGAGAGGTATGATAGGTTTGTGCTATCATAATAAACATAGCCAAAATGACATGTGTGGGGACAGACATATGCAATTTCAGTATTTTGATAATAAGCAAGAGTACAGAATGAAACACTTAGAGCATTTGTATAGCCATATAGAACATTAGTACAAACTTGAGGCTGGATAGCCATCTGTTAGGAATGTTTAGATTGTGTGTTCCTGCAGTGCAGGGGGTTGGACTGGATGGTCCTCGTGGTCTCTTCCAACTCTATGATTCGATTCCACATTTCTTGCCATTGTTCTAGTGCTCATTCTTCTTTAGCTTATTTTCAAGTGCAATTATTAGGTTAGGCCCATAACTAAAACTGCACTCCATGTGGCAATTGCTATAGTCCTCATGAATCTCAGTCAACACTGTTCTGTGTTACTAAGCTGAGGTTTTATGAAGGGTTAACAATGAGTCACATGATAATTTATCAAATTAACGATACCTATTAGGTAACCAGGAAAGGATATCTGACACAACCACCGGTTTCTTCTTATCTGGACTGAACGGATCTTTCCTCTTTTTCCTAGACTGAAGTTCATCATTCCACAACTCTGAAGAAACAAAAATATTACTGGTTAAATTACTGTTCCATAGTACAAATCTGCATCATTAGGAAAAGGAGGGCTGCACATTTAAAACGTATTTTAGCATTGCTATCAGTTGATGCTTTAAACATTTAGAATAATTTTTCATGGACAGATCTGGCAAAAGGAGGGTAGAGACATATCTGATAGTTTTGCAGTTGATTGTTTAAACAGTGTCTCCGATTGCTGCAATTTAACTCATTAGTTTAATGTAACAGCCATGACAAATACATTAAAATATATGAAGTATGCAAAATGCACAAATTCAGCAAAATGATTTAACAAACAATCCCCATTATGGTTTGATAATAATACAAGACCATTTCTAAAATAAATATTAAAGAATTTCAAAATTACCGACAGAAAAAATCAAATTAATGCACTGAATCTCCTTGACATTTTATGGAAGCTTTTTCTAACTCTCTAATATCTTTGCATTCAAAGCAAAAATAGCCCCTTTGTTTGTTACATAGCTGTATTTGCTCAAAAGAAAAAGTATCAATTTTTTGCAACAGAAATTCCACTTCCATGAGTCAGCAATCTCTTGTTTTGGGTTGATGTACAAGGACCAGGTTCATTTGTAGCAAACAATTGTCCAAACACAAATCAAGGAACATGAAAGGAACTGCAGACTAATTCAACCAGAGAAGTCAGCCATAGCAGAGCACCTGATGAACCAACCTGGGCACAACATACTATTTGAGAATGCAGAAATCCTGAACCACTCTAATAACTTCCATGTCGGACTACACAGCATGTGGACAATTTCAACAGAAAGAAGGAAACCTTGAAAATGAACAAAATCTGGCTACTAGTGTTAAAAAATCTCTAAAATCTGGACAGTAAAGAAAAAGGAACACACAAAAAACAGGGGAATTTCTGACACGAAAAATCAGGGCCAGCAAACACCTCTCAACAAAGGATTCCCCCAGGCAGCAATCAGCCAGGCTTTGAAGCTGAAAGACCATTAAATGATAATCAAGGTGACCAATTGCAACATTTACACCTGCCTTGAGCAGACAAAAGTTCTTTCTCCCACCCTGGACATTCCACAGATATATAAACCTCACTTGCCTAGTTTCCAACAAACCTCAAAACCTCTAAGGATGCCTGCCATAGATGCAGGTGAAAAGTCAGGAGAGAATGCGGCAAAAGTATGATAGCTGGGACCCAGTGCTGGTAGCACTATGCTGGTTGCATAATGTGACTCTAAATTAGAGAAGGGAACATGTGTGCCAGACACAGCACCATGTGAAAGACGCAGCTACGACAGAGTCAACAAGGTAGTTTGGTAGAGGGGGGGGGGGGGAGACGGGGACAGCCAAGCATACTGATGTACGCTATCCAGAGATGCTTTGCAAGGTAGTTCGGTAGAAAGGGGGAGGGGATCTCCAGATATAGGAGATCATATGCAAAAACGTTCAAAACACTGTTGCACTGGAAGGAAGGATAGAAAGGAGGGGAGAAATACAAGCAGAGGTGAAAAATGAATCAAATTCAGTCACTCTTACATTACTTCACTGTTATCCTCTCCCACCTGCATTACATTACTTTACTGGTATCCTGCCGCTGCTGTGTCTCTCACTCCGTGTGCTGTCTCGCGCACATGTTCCCTTTTCTAATTCAGAGCCGCGTTGCGCTACCAGCACTGGGTCCCAGCTATCATACTTTTGCCAAGAATGCTTCTAGAACATGGCCATATAGCCCGGAAAAAACACAGCAACCCAGAGATTCCGGCCATGAAAGCTTTTCACAACACAATGGCCAGAGATGCACAATCTAGGTTCAAATGCCACCCAATTATAGCGTTCAACCAAAACAGCAATTAGCATAAGTTGATATCACAGGCTGCGCTGTTTCACTCTATGGTCTTACTTTTTCTGCTGGTGGAGAAAATCTTCCCAGAAACTGGCAATATTCATACTGTTTTTCCTTTGGCCATCCTAATATCAGAGTTTCATTTCTCATTATCATCACCACCAGCAACCAAACAACATGGTGTTTCACAGTCTACTAGGTGTTTCACTTGGAGTTCTGAACCATCAACAATTCAGATTCTATCCAAGAATTTAGGAGTCAGTGAGGTATCACTGGTTAATGTAGCATGTTTGCTTCACCTGAGAGGGTTTTTTCCATTTCTAGGTTGTAAAAGATCTAACTGTTCTACAAGTGTACTGAAGAAACAACACATGTATAAAATGCTTGCAAGATAACAAATACCATTGACCTTCTTGATGACAGGAGCAGATCAGGTGGGGAATGAACTATAGGGTGAGGCAGCATAACTTCCTTTTTTAAAATTCAGTCAGTTGAAGATGTAGCGGAGCGCTAGTGGTCTCGTTCGAGAGGCGGGAGTATAAAGTATTGTCCTGACACAGTTCAGTTGCCATCATGCGTTGGAACAGTGAGGAGCGTGCTTTTGTCGTTGAGGCCTACTTTTTGAGCGGATTTGGAGTGGCCGGCCCGCTCTCCAGATTTGGCCCCTTGGTGATTTTTTTTCTATGGGGTTTTTTGAAATCCCGTGTTTATGTGAACCGTCCAAGGACCCTACAAGATTTGGAGACCAACAGCAACTTTTTACCACTTTAGAAAAAGACACTTATGGTGGTAGCTGGACGATTCTTGCTGCTACTAGCAGTGCTCCTTTATGGAATGGTTCTCTATCCTACTAGAAAAATAAGCAACTCCTTCTCAAAACTAAAAAAAAATGGAGTTTTTGCCTGCAAAGCTGGTCAACTGGGAGTTATGACAATATAAATAATTTTTCCAACGTTACATAAGGAGATACACAGTCCAATGGATACCAAAGGGTACTTGCACATGGCTCCAACCCAGTGCCCTGCTACAGCTGCCAGGCTGTCCCCTTCAAACACCCTCTTTGATGGTCTGTCTATGCCTTTGATGTTCTAGACTTCAGCATAAGAATAGTAGCAAAACCTTGTACTTTGCCAGATTCAAATAAGATCTCAGCTTTTGTAAATTTCAGTAGAAAGAGTTACTGCAAGATAAGAGTGACAAAGTCAGGATCTCACTGTCAAGAAAAACAAAACAGCTGACTTGTTTGTCCCAGAAATATACTATATTCCAAGGACATCATTGACGTTTGTGTTTGGGGTTGAATTCTACAGTGATGGTGTTTCACCTGGCAATTTATTGATTTGGTCAGTCTTCTGTGTATTTGTCCTCCATTAGCACTTACTTACCTGAGGTAATATCAATGCTATGCCGGTCTTCTTCAAGCCGTCTGATTTTCTCTTCTAGTTCACTCTGAACAGTGTCATACAACAAGAGCTTTTCACTCTGAAAGGCAAAGTTAACAATGTAGTCAAACATTAGCTAGTTGAAAGCATGCAATACATCGTCTACTGGATTTGACACTCAAGATCAGTGCAAGCAGATTTCCTAAACAAAGGCCTGATGTACAAGATCCATTATTTCATAACAGTATAGAGTGCCAATGGCAATGTAAAAAAGCTAGGATTGATGCTATGAAGAAAGGTCAGCACTTCCGTTGCACGAAGCAGATGCAACACAGGCAAATGGAGGGCATTTCTTTTTGCAGAAGATTCAAGTGGGCGTCTACATTACAAGAGAGAGGGGCTAAAAGGTAAGGAGAGGGGTCTTTCTAAGAGTTGTTTTCAATCTGCAAAGCTCAAGTTGTACTCTGATATATGGGAAAAAGATGCCAAGAGCTTGAGAACAGCAGAAACTTACACAAGGACAAAAAAGATAGACATCTGTATAATAATAATAAACATTTGTTTTTATCCCGTCCTATCTCCCCGAGGGGATTCAGGGTGGTTTACAACATTTGAAATTGGCAAACATTCAATGCCAATAAAATATTATTCAGCTCTCCTTTTAAAGTAGCTTGTTATTATTGTTGCTGTTCTTGTTAGAATCATAGAATCATAGAGTTGGAGACCTCGTGGGCGATTCAGTCCAACCAAATGCCAAGAAGAAGGAAAATCGCATTCAAATCACCCCTGTCAGATGGCCATCCAGCCTCTGTTTAAAGGCCTCCAAAGAAGGAGCCCCCACCACACTCCAGGGCAGAGAGTTCCACTGCTGAACAGCTCTCACAGTCAGGAAGTTCTTCCTAGTGTTCAGGTGGAATCTCCTTTCCTGTAGTTTGAAGCCATTGTTTCACGTCCTAGTCTCCAGGGCAGCAGAAAACAAGCCTGATCCCTCCTCCTATTATATTTATTTCTATCCTGCTATTCTCTCAGGACTGAGACATAAACAACTATACAATTTAAAAACCCACAAAATATAAATACAAACATAGAATGAAACATCCCAATTATTTAAACAATTCGGTTAAAATTAATTAATAAAAAACTATTAAAATAATTCCTAACACCATGCAGAACCCCATGGCCTGCTCTTAAAAACTTCATGCTTTAAAAGCTCACAAATTTGTGGCAAGTGACAACTACAAAAACTACAGTTTACCAAATCCTCATGATGAGCAAATAAGAGAAGCAATGTAGCCAGAATACCAAGCCATATTAAATGTTTTAAATTGCTTTTATTGCACACCACTTTGAGATTTTTATGTTAATTTTTCGATCCCAATTCAAGGTGCAGGTTATTACCTACAAAGCCCTGAACAATTTGGGACCCGCCTATCTTTGTGACTGCATTTCCTTTTACAATCCTGCACGATCTCTTCGATCCTCAGGGGAGGCCCTCCTCTCACTCCCGCCTCCATCAGAAGTGCAACTTGTCGGGACGGGGGAGAGAGCCTTCTCCGTTGCAGCTCCTTGGCTTTGAAACTTGCTACCTAGTGAGATTAAGCTAGCCCCCATCCTGGCAGCCTTTAATAAAGATCTAAAAACCTGGCTCTTCCGGCATCCCTTTGACAAGTGAATACATATCCCCACATCATGTCCATCCCAACTATAGTCCTCATGACTCACTTTCCCTTGACTTTAATGAAGGCTCAATCCCACTGTTCATCCCTTCTGAGCTCCCCCACAGACACCTTCTTCTCCATTCACTTGTCTCACCCAGGGTTTTATCAGTCTTGTTCTGTGCATTTGGCCCGCCCACCGTGCCTTTATTTTATTTCTTCATCACGTTATTTTGCATCTGTTTATTGCATTTTCTGTTATTTTATGGGGTTTTTTTGATGTTATTGTTTGCTGTTTGTATTTTATTTTATTTTGTTGTACTGTAATTCTGGGCTTGGCCTCATGTTAGCCGCCCCAAGTCCCCTTTGGGGAGATAGTGGCGGGGTGTAAAGATTATTATTATTATTATTATTATTATTATTATTATTATTATTATTATTATATTAAACACAACAAGACGAGTCCACAGCTGGCTGTTGAATTGGATCACACGTCGGACACGTCCCAAGTGTCTAGGACTGTGTGATGTATCGGCGAATAATGCATGCAGATCCCAGTAAGGTGGCCTTCTGCAGCTGGCAGATGGTAATTTTGTCAGCACTGATTGTGTTTAAGTGCAGGCCAAGGTCTTTAGGCACTGCATCCAGTGTGCCAATCACCATTGGGACCAGTGTTACTGGCTTGTGCCAGAATCTTTGCAGTTCGATCTTTAAATTCTCATATCGTGTCAGCTTTTCCAGTTCTTTCTCTGTAATCCTGCTGTCACCTGGGATTGCAACATCAACGATCCATACTTTTTTAACACAATCATGAGGTCAGGAGTATTGTGCTCCAAAACTCTGTCTGTCTGAATCCTGAAGTCCCAGAGGAGTTTGGCGTGTTCATTCTCTGTAACTTTTTTCGGCTTGTGATTCTACCAGTTCTTTGTCGCAGGCAGATGGTATTTGTGGCACAAATTCCAGTGAATCATCCGAGCAATGGTGTTATGCCTCTGCTTGTAGTCTGTCTGTGTGATCTTCCTGCAGCAGCTGAGGATGTGATCTATTTATTTATTTATTTTATTTATTACTGTGCTTATATACCGCCGTTTCTCAGCCTAAATCGGCGACTCAACGCGGTTTACAATACAACAAGCAGCAATATTCCATTAAAAAAGCATAAAAACACATACACAATACACAATATTATTGGGCCACCAATAACAATCCAATGCATCTCTTAATTGTAATCGCAATCCAATTTCGTCGTCTGTGATTAACCAATCCTTTGTTCATCAGTTTCATTGCACCAGGTTAATCGAATGCTTGTTTAAACATCCATGTCTTCAACCTTTTTCGAAATACCATCAGCGAAGGGGCTGATCTCACCTCTATGGGGAGGGCATTCCAAAGCCGAGGGGCCACCACAGAAAAGGCCCTGTCTCTCGTTCCCGCCAGCCGCACCTGTGAAGCAGGCGGGATAGAGAGCAGGGCCTCCCCAGAAGATCTTAGGGTTCCCTGGTGGGCTGATAGGCCGAGATACGTTCGGATAGATAAGTTGGGCCAGAACCGTTTAGGGCTTTAAAGGCCACGCCAGCACTTTGAATTGGGCCCGGTAGCAAATCGGCAGCCAGTGGAGCTGGTACAGCAGAGGAGTTGTATGCTCCCTGCGCCCCGCTCCTGTTAGTATCATGGCTGCCGCCCGTTGGACTAATTGGAGCTTCCGCCGTCTTCAAGGGCAACCCCACGTAGAGAGCGTTGCAGTAGTCTAAGCGGGATGTAACCAGAGCGTGGACTACCGTGGCCAAGTCAGACTTCCCAAGGTACGGTCGCAGCTGGCGCACAAGTTTTAACTGTGCGAATGCTCCCCTGGTCACCGCCGAAACCTGGGGTTCCAGGCTCAGCGATGAGTCCAGGATCACACCCAAACTGCGAACCTGCATCTTCAGGGGGAGTGCGACCCCGTCTAACACAGGCTGTAACCCTATACCCTGTTCGGCCTTGCGACTAACCAGGAGTACCTCTGTCTTGTCTGGATTCAATTTCAATTTGTTCGCCCCCATCCAGACCGTCACAGCGGCCAAGCACCGGTTCAGGACCTCAACAGCCTCCTTAGTAGCAGGTGGAAAGGAGTGACAGAGTTGGACATCATCTGCGTACAGATGACATCGCACTCCGAAACTCCGGATGATCTCGCCCAGCGGCTTCATGTAGATGTTAAACAACATGGGAGACAGTATTGAACCCTGAGGAACCCCACAAGACAAAGGTTGTGGGGTTGAACAGGAGTCTCCCAGTAACACCTTCTGAGACCGACCCTCGAGGAATGAGCGGAGCCACTGCAGAACAGTACCTCCAAGACCCATCCCCGCGAGGCGTCCCAGAAGGATACCGTGGTCGACGGTATCGAAGGCCGCTGAGAGGTCGAGCAGCACCAACAGGGACACACTCCCCCTGTCGAGCTCCCGACGCAGATCATCCACTAAGGCGACCAAGGCTGTCTCGGTACCATGCCCCGGTCTAAAGCCAGACTGTGCCGGGTCCAGATAATCCGTGTCTACCAAGAATGCCTGGAGTTGTGAGGCCACCACACGTTCCATGACTTTGCCCAAAAAGGGGAGAGTGGAAACAGGCCGATAGTTGACGAATTGAGTGGGGTCCAGTGATGGTTTCTTCAACAGCGGTTTTATTACAGCTTGCTTTAAGCTGGCTGGAATTTTGCCTTCCCGAAGGGAGGCATTCACCACCACCTTCACCCACTCGGCCAAACCCCCTCTGGCCTCCTTTAGAAGCCAGGATGGGCAGGGGTCTAGGATGCATGTGGTAGCTCTCATTCCTCCAAGCACCTTGTCCACATCCTCGGATTGAACCAATTGAAATGAATCCATCAAAACTGGACAAGCAGATGCTCGTGTTACATCCTCAGATACTGCCGTTAATATGGTATCCAGTCCAGAGCGGATCAAAGCGACTTTGTCTGCGAAGAACTGAGCAAAAGCTTCACAGCGAGCTGCCGAGTCATCAGGGCACCCATCCTGAGTGGCGGGTTTTAATAGTCTGCTTCCTTGCAGAGACTATGCTTGGAATCTGTAGTCGACTTTTTCAATTCTGGCTTTGATGGCATTTGTTCTAATTGCTTGTTCTTGGGCTGCAAGAATCAGGCCCTCGGTCTCAGAATTCCATTTGTGAGCCACAGCCATGTTTTTTCTTTGTCAATTTGGCTCTCAATTTTCCCAGGAACTGTCCATGGAGAGCCTTCTTTTGCCAGTTTTCCCTTTTGCTCTGGATTGTGTTTTAATGGTATCCCCTCTTTGAATTTTGCACTTTAAGCACTTTACTACTATTGACTTCCCTCAATGTTGGTTCTTGACTGCCTTTCACATAATCTGCCAGTGCATGTTTCTCTTCTTCTACCGTTTGTTTCACTTGCAGAAGCCCTCTGCCTCCTGATTTTCTGGGCAGGTAAAGTCTGTCGACATCTTTACATGGGTGTAATGAATAGTGGATTGTCATTATTATTATTATTATTATTATTATTATTATTATTATTATTATGTATTCAGCAGGATGAAAAAATCCAACTTATTTAGGGGCCCTAACTTCTTTAAGGGATAAAGAATGTTGGTCCCTCACCTGAATCTAGGCAGGGAAGGAGATGGGAATGTAAGAACTAAGTTTGATTTCATACATTTCTTCAGACATTAGCTCCATCAGTTACAGATAAATGAAAACCATATCCAGATAAAAACAGTACCTCACAGTGTTGTCGGGAAGCTTGAATTTCACATTCATATTTGTTTTTCACAGACTCTAAGCAGAGCTCTCTGTAGATACCTATAACAAATGTTTTAAACGCTTAAGAGAGACATAAAGTGCCACAAACTTCTGTGTACCTGCCTATATTTCCTCCATTACCTACAACATATTAAAATCTGAGCAGTTTCAAAAGGCAAATAATGTCTGAAGTAAAAAAAGAAATCTGCCTCCTATCTTAATGCAGCTAATGCCTGAACAAATTAAAGTCTAAATCTACTGAAATATCTCCACATGTTTTAATAATATTCCACATTTATTCAAGCACTGCTTAGAAATCTACAGAGCAGATATGGGCAACTGGAATGCTCCAAATGTTCGTAGACTATAATGCCCATCAGCTTTAGCCAGCATAAACAGTAGTGAAGGATTATGGAAACTGTGGTCCAACCATGCCTGGTAGGATCATCATGGTTGTCTGTCCCTGTTATAGACCTTAATTAATATTATCCATAAAGAATTGTTGCTGTCACTACTTATGCGGCAAGGTCAATGTTATTTGCATATATTTACAGAGCTAGCAAAAAGCTAGAGGTAGTGCTAACAAGAAACTGTCTTCAAGATTGGGTTGCTGTGGGTTTTCTGGGCTGTATGGCCATGTTCCAGAAGCATTATCTCCTGACGTTTCACCCACATCTATGGCAGACATTGTCAGAGGTTCTGAGGATGCCTGCCATAGATGTAGCTAAAACATCAGGAGAGAATGCTTCTGGAACAGGGCCATACAACCCAGAAAGCTCACAGCAACCCAGTGATTCTGGCCATGAAAACTTCGACAACACATTGCCTTCAAGATTCTATTTCAGAAAAGTTCTTTTGTATTTATATTCGGGACAACAACAAAAATTAATAATGTATGAGCTGCAGAGGTTTGTGAAGGGGAATCTCTATGTCCAATTGATCCCCAATTCCAGTTTTTCAAACACATACCCCTGTTACAACCAAAGCTCTGGCAACCTGCAATGCAGCATGAGAAGATACTATCCAGGAAATCGGTAAAAATCCTAGGTGTACATGTGCAAGATAGTGCAGATTACCTTTATGGTTACCCCAGCTACAGGTATTTAGTAACTTTTACAGTTTCTCTTTTGATAGTTCTTCCTCCCACCAGCTCCGACATTTGCTTTTAAAAATTTAGATAAGTAAGCACAACAGGGAGAGCCCTCAGTGGCACAATGGGTTGAAGAACTGAGCTACTGAACTTGCAGACCAAAAAGTCAGCGGTTCAATTTTGGGGAGTGGGGTGAGCTGCTGCTGTTAGCCCCGGCTTCTACCAACCTAGCAGTTCGAAAACATGCAAATGTGAGTAGGTCAATAGGTACCGCACAACAGGGGGAGCCCCCAGTGGCACAGCGGGTTAAAGAACTGAACTGCTGAACTTGCTGACTGAAAGGTCAGTGGTTCGAATCCGGGGAGCAAGGGGAGCTTCTGTTGTTAGCTCCTGCTTCTGCCAACTTAACAGTTCAAAAACATGCAAATGTGAATAGATATATAGGTACTGCTTCTGCAGGAAAGTAACGGCGCTCCATGCAGTCATGCCGGCCACATGACCTTGGAAGTGTCTACACACAATGGTGGCTCTTTCTTAGAGCCGTAGCAAACTACTGGAAGCGAGAGCGAGCTTGTGCTCGAGCTCACTCTGAAGCCCCGCCTTTTTTCCTCCGAGGCTGCTCTCTCTCTTGCTAGTGTGCCTGTTTTCCCTTGCTAGGGAAGCAATGCGAGTGTACTCTCGCAGTTGGCAGAATTCAACTGTGAGCGTACGCTCGCATCCCTGCCCTCTGCAATGGAAAACAGGCACGCTAGCAAGAGAGAGAGCAGCCTCGGGGGAAGAAAAGGCGGGGCTTCGGAGCAAGCCCGAGCGCAAGCTTCCTGTAGTTTGCTGCGGCACGAGCGTATGCTCGCAACGCTGCCCTAGCAAAGGGAAATAGGCAGAGAAAGAGGCGGAGCATCGCTCGTGCTGGCTTAGTTTGCTCTCGCAAAATCCTAGTTTGCTACGGCTCTTAGAAATAAAGATGAACACCCTCCGCAGAGTCAGACATGACTAGACTTAATGTCAATGGGAAACCTTTACCTTAAGCACAACAGGGCCTAAATAATCTAAAGGCAACAGATTCCACCTGATCTTAAAAGCTAAGCAGGGTCAGCCCTGTGTAGTGCTCGGTTGCGGGATCACCAACAAATACATGGTGCTCTGGGTTATATTTAAAAGGGAACTAGCAAAACCATCTCTCGCTACTCCTTGTTTAAGAAAACCTTATGAAATTCATGGGGTTGCCATAATTGAAGGCACACACATGTATCTAAGCACAATAAATATATGATATATGAGCTGAGGAAACTACAAATCAAAAACAGTATTATCTTTCTAGGTGAAAAGGTTAATTTTAAAAAGCTAGCTTCAGTAAAAACAATAGAGACAGTCTGCTTCATATGTCTATGGCTGATGACAAAGTAGCCTTCAAGAAATATTAGATACATATTTATTCTATGTGACTCCACTAAGCCCTTATGAAATCACTACTTGATGCCAGTCTACCACACTCACCTTGAACACATCCAATACTATCTGCTGCTGACATAACAGGCAGGATTCTGCCTTAAAAGATCAGGGGAATCGAATTAAAACCAATTAACAAGGAGAGATAGGTGGAAAGTAAAAATTGGGGGCCTGATATTCACTCTTAGTTTAAGAAATCTGAATTGAATATACAAAGTGAAGTCCATTTCACTTGCCTCTTTGAGCAGTGAAGTCATAAGAGCAACTGGAAAGCTGTGCAAACATGGATCCCTAGTTCTCTAGGTCACAGAACAAGCCAGGATCCTGGGAGAGAGAGACCTCAATCCCTATCCAAGTGTAAAGCCAAAAGGCTTACTAGAAGTTATGAAAACAGGCGTTTGAGAATTAAAAATGAACAGATTTAAATGTTTTTGTCAATCTTTCACTTCTGCCCATGCCCTGCAGGATGCACCTAATTGAGTAAACAACAGCCTCTTCCATGCACTTACCTGCCACTTTTGTTCGTATTTGCATGTTTTCTTGCAGAGCTGCCAGTGGTTCCAAGTACTCTGGTGCCTTTCCCGCAATGACCTCCTGCAGTTTTGCATCCACTTGGCTTAATCTCTCTTTGTAAAGTCTTAACATAATGAAGATGAAGATGGAGTGCATTATATTAAAGACATACAGAGAACAGTGCATATTAATATTTCTAAGAACTCCTTTCCTCAGATGCCACTAGCCATAACCCAGCAAATCATTAAGACATAAATTGAAAATGATTAAAGCATTGTGGAAGGCTTTCATGGCTGGAATCACTGGGTTGCTGTGAGTTTTTCAAGCGGTATGGCCATGTTCCAACACCATTCTCTCCTGATGTTTCACCTGCATCTGTGGTGACATCTTCAGAGATCCTCTGAAGCCAGCCACAAACGCAGGTGAAACATTAAGAGAGAATGCTGTTGGAACATAGCCATACAGCCCGAAAAACTCACAGCAACCCACTATGAAACCATTAATCCACAGGGTAAAAATTAACCATTGCTAAAATCAGGCTGTACTATAGAACACATTGTGCCCAACTTATCATTTACGCTTTATTTTGGTTAAATTCTGATTTAACACTAGGGTGGATGGAAAGATTGTTTCTCTCTACAGAAAGTATCAGATCCAGCAGAATAATTCTCCTGGTAGTATTTTATTTATTTATTTATTTATTTACGATATTTCTATGCTGCCCTTCTCACCCTGAAGGGGACTCAGAGCAGCTTACAATACACACACACACACACACACACACACACAATATATTATACTGTTAGCATAATACAATATCAGTATTAAATATTACTATATTGCACTATACCATTGTATTGTAATATTAGTAATATTACATGTAATATAAATATATAATTATAATATTGTATTATTAATAGCATTATATTGTATTACATTATAATAATATATGTATATACAATATATTATATTATAAGTAAAGACATTTTTGTCTCATTCCTGCCATTTTACCTCCTGAGGAATACTCCCACCCACCATTCTTGCCTCCTCATTTCCTTCAGGGAGGAAGGCAACCCACATTGCAATTTTGGTATTTATTATTATTATTATTATATTAAAAAATACAACATCTTGACCAACATCAAACCCTGTTTAACTTGAGGACCTCTTGCTGGGCCTGCTCCATTAATAGAAACAGCATAATTTACAGCAGGCATGGGAAATGTGGAGGTGTTTGTTATGTCTAGCTTTTGTAAATAAAGATCTATTTTTGTGTTGTTGTGAGTTTTTCAGGCTGTCTGGCCATGTTCCACAAGCAGTTTCTCCTGATGTTTCACCCACATCTATGGCAGGCATCCTCAGAGGTTGTGAGTTCTATCGGAAACTAGGCAAGTGATGTTTATATATCTGTTGAATGTTCAGGGTGGGAGAAAGAACTCTTCGCTACTTGAGGCAAGTGTGAATGTTGCAATTAGCCACCTTGATTAGCATTTAATGGCCTTGTAGCTTCAAAGCCTGGGTGATTGGTGCCTAGGGACACCCTTTGTGAATCTGTCTCAAAACTCAGTCTAGGAAATGTATGGGGCACTTTCCCCACATTTTTGGCCTCTCACTTTGCTATTTTAAGAACATTTCCTCATGAAAAAGGCCTCTCATGGATCTAAAATGGTCAAAAGACCAAAAGGATGATAAGATCTCTCTCCCCACACACATATATTGCCCCATACTGGTCACAATTGCCCATCCTTCCTTCAAATAATATACAACCAGAATTACAAGCAGAGTACAATTCAAATGAAATTCACACACACAGTCTTACTTACTGGTCTTTAAGGTCTGTAAACTGTTTTTCAAGATTGGACATTTCATCTAAACACTCCATTCTTCTTCTTTCACAGTCCTCATCATCCATTTCTGTAAAGAGAATGAGACACTTTAAAAACACATCACACAAACTGGTTGCCTCTCCTTAAATCTATTTTGTACAATTTACGGTCGCGTTGATCAAATTAACATGGCTAAGAGGAGGTAATCTCTGACAGCCCCTCTTAAACTGCTAAAAAACATATCTAGCATATAATACCAAAATCAAAGCACTCCTTCTTTTCCACGACTGATCTTGGAAAAGAGCCCAGCTGCTTGATCTTACACTTCAGTCAGTTTTGCGCTTCATCTCATAACAAAATACTTTAATATTTTAAAGTGCAGTCCAAGGAGAAAAATAATTTGAACGAATCAATTAGCGGAAATTAAAATAGGTAACCTATCTCCAGTTTCTTATATCAGAGTCTCAACTGGACAGCGGATGTGGTTTTTGCCAATCTGCAAGAGTGGGCTCTAGTGTTTCCACAGTGGTGAGGATCCTGCTGAGAAATAAAATCTTTGTTCACCAACAAAAACAATATGCTTTATTAACTCTGCAAATAGCACCCTTGTTAATATTACCAATGGATACAACACTGGCCACAATGAATAAATGTATATCAGGGCAATTTTAAATCTCTCTTTTAATATTCATGTGTTTTCTCAACAGGGACACACACTGAATGATTGTTATAAATAATGGAAGTATAACAAGTTGCTACTAAACAATTTATTTTACAAAATCTAGACCCATGGCCCATAACACTGTGTAATGCAGACAACATGGGCTGTGTAAAAAGGCCTGCCTAGAAACAAAACTAATTAGACTTGCTTTAAAAAGAGGAGATAATGTCTGTGTCGTTTCTATATGTGTGTACAGATACTAATCAGAGTCAACTATTCAACAGTTGGAAGGTGCAATTCTTTGGTTGCAGAAGTTGAAACAAAAACTGCCTCCTGATTATTAAAATATCAGGGTGCATCATATCAGGAATGGACAAAACAGTGTTAGGAATTGTGGGGACTGAAGTCCAAAACACCCGGAGGGCCAAAGTTTGCCCATGCCCGATTTACACAGTAGTATTAGTGCAGTTTGATATCACTTTAACTGCAATGGTTCAGTGCTATGGAATCATGGGATTGGTAGTTTGGTGAGGTACCACCACTCTCTCACAGAGAAAGCCAGAGACTTTGAAAACTACAACATCCATGATTTTATAACATTGAGCCATGGTAGTTTAAACCACATTCATTCTACAGTGTAGACGCACCCATAAACACTAGTGTGAGTTGTTTTGGAGGCTTCCAGAAATATTCAGACATGAAATAATATTAGGATAATTGGCAAAATCCACCTTAACATTACAAAGTGGTAAAATTCAATGTATTGTTAAGGCTTTCATGGCCGGAATCACTGAGTTGCTGTAGGTTTTTTTGGGCTATATGGCCATGTTCTAGAGGCATTATCTCTTGACATTTCTCCTGCATCTATGGCAAGCATCCTCAGAGGTTGTGAGGTCAGGTAAAATTCACCTTTACTATTGGTCTCTTTCTCCAGTGTGCCACTTCTCAATACCACATCGCCAGTATGACCAGTGGTGAGAAAATCTGGGAAATGAAATCCCAACATCTGGTGGACCAAGTCAGAAACTGACATCAACCATGTATTAGAAATAAACAATATGTGCACAAGTTCAAGAATCCATTCATGATTTCCTACATTAAGCTTTTCCCACATAGTACCTTTGCTTTGTTTTAAAATCAGGCTTCCAGAAGTCCCATTAAATTAGTTCAAAACAGAAAGAACAAGAACAAAACTAATAAATTGGAAGTTATTCCACAGAAAGAGGGAAGTACAGGCACCACTTCAGGAGATCCGTAACTCCTGCAGTGCACATTGACATAGCACAACTGCATACATTGCATTTGACAAATAGAATACTTGCCAATGAATATTTGCGACTCAACACGCTAACCTTGCAAACTGTTTTGTCAAAGGCTCTCAAAGTTTGAAATGTGCAAACTGGTCTAAAAGGGTTGAGGACTCTCAGAAGAGTTCTTAGGAGTCTTAAAAGGTTTGGTATCCAGGCTTATAAGGAACAAATCTAGATATTTTTAAAAAATATGCTGACTTATAACTAGGTCAGAGCTTAGAGATCTGAGGATTAGTGGTGATGCTCTAATGTTAGCATTACATAAAACGTTAGAGAACATTAATAAATATAGTGAAAACAATATCAATTCATCATTGTATTAATCACTAATGTTAGTACATTACACAGCTGTCATTTAACAATTGAACATGCCAACTTTTTAAATCTTTTTTTTAAAAAAAATAATTAATGGCTACTGTGTAAGAAAATAATTTATGGGGAGTTCCCAAGTTATGAACAGAATAGGTTCTGTAGGCTTGTTCTTAAGTTGAATTTGTATAGAAGTCTGAACATGTAACATTTTAAAATGTAACTCCAGCTATATATATATATATATATATATATATATATATACACACACACACACACACACACACACACACACACACACATACACACACACACACACGTACACACGCACAATGTGTGTGTGTATACAGTATATATATTAAAGGTAAAGGTTTCCCCTTGACATTAAGTCTAGTCGAGTCTGACTCTGGAGGTGGTGTTCATTTCCATTTCTAAGCCGAAGAACTGGCATTGTCCACAGACGCCTCCAAGGTCATGTGGCTGGCATGACTGCATGGAGCGCCATTATCTTACCACCAGAGTGGTACCTATTGGCCTACTCACATTTGCAAGTTTTCAAACTGCTAGGTTGGCAGTAGATGGGGCTAACAGCAGGAGCTCACTCCTCTCTCCGAATTTGAACTGCCAACCTTTCAATCAGCAAGTTCAGCATCTCAGCGGTTTAACCCGCTGCACCACTGGGGGTTCCATAGATCGATAGAGAGCGAGAAAGAGAGAGAGAGATTGCAGTTTTGGATAGCATAGGGAAGAGTTAACACTGCTGTGGAGTTTGTTTTGCTGTTTGTGACCCTGTTCAGAAGATTTTACCTCACTTTCTGTCCCTGTGAAAATTGTATTTTGAAAAATCAGCTTGTTGTGGAAACATGGACTGGTCAACAAGCTAACTCTTCCAGGAGTGAATGTCTCTTCCTAGGGGTAGATTTCTCTCACTTCCTAGTGTCTCATCCCTGTTCTTAAGTATGAGTTGTTTGTAAGTCAGATGTTTGTAACTTGGGGACTGTCTGTACCAAACTTAAAAATAACTATTAGAATTTAAATCTGACAGAGGGAAAAACCAATTAATTTCTCATCAAAATCATACCACATAATATTCATTCTTTAATTAATGTGCGTCATGCTCTGAGATTATCTTAAATCAGCAATTCCTCTCTGGTTACAAATAATCTGCAATTGCATGATAAAATACAAAGCAGAGAATGGCTTGTAGTCTGTTTCCATTGGACACTTTTATACACGTGAACATACTACCTGAAAGCATAATGTTTTGATACATCAAAAGCAAGTCAAGAACAAAGAAGAGTTGCCTCATCATTTCCTCTTCCCTACTATCCAGCTTTACTCTTGCTTTATTATCATACTAGCTAAACCTGACCACACTTTGCTGTGGCTCAGTCTGATATGAAATGAATGAGAGAGTTAATAAAAGTACTGTTGCGAACATAGATTCACCGAGAAAACAAATAATTCAATAACCTGCCTTGTATTGCTGTGTCTATGTGGAATGAAAGGAAAGAATAAGAGGTTTTTAACAGAAATCATTTTTAATTGTAAAGCTAGTGGATTGACCACATATGCCATTAAGTAGTTACATCTGCTCATCCATAGAAAACCATATTTAATAATCTAGAGCTGATGTGGTAGTAGTAATCTTTCATAGGTAGACAGCCTCTCCCCTCTCGTCATCCCCATTGCCTCGGCACTATAAGGAGGTTTCGTGAGACCACTTGCTCTCGTTGCCATTGTCCGTAGACGCCTCCGAGATCATGTGACTGGCATGACTGCATGGAGTGCCATTATCTTTCTGCCGAAGTGGTACTTATTGATCTACTCACATTGACCTGTTTTTGAACTGCTAGGTTGGCAGAATCTGGGGCTAACACAGATTCAAACTGCTGGCCTTCTGGTCAGCAAGTTGTGCAGCTTAGCGGTTTAACCCACCGCGCCACAGCAGCACCTCAGCATTATATACATACTCCTATATGAGATTCTCTCTATAAAGACAATTTGCATAGAAAAAAGAATGCCATCAATCATGTGGCTTTGTCACAACTGCCCCACAGTACCTGTGCATCCACATTCTCCTATCTACTGCAACATTACAAAATCAGAAAAAAGATAAGCCTTTTTTCCAGTTTTAGAGCAGCGAGTTGCTTGTTAAAACACCTAACAGCTGTTTCAAAGTTGGATGGTGAATATCATCCTCATAATAGGGCCGGTATGCAGAACAGGAACCATCCTAGCAATTGGTGGCTAAGTTTTTATGACTAGACATCTTTCTTGTACAAATTTCTCTTGAACTACCCTGATCATTCATAGGTGGCTGTCTCCTGGCACTGGAAAACCAGTAACTTACCAGTAGGACAGAGATAGCAGAGTTTATCTGTGAACATAAGGTATACCTCAAAGCCGCTCTGAGTCCCCTTTGGCGTGAGATAGAGCAGGGCAGAAATATAGTAAATAGTAAATATAATAAATATCTCCTCTGGACTAGAAAGACTGGAGGGCAGGCTTTGTTGAGCTCCCATGTACACAGTGTCAGAACATCAATCACATTATAATAGGGTAAATAATTGCTATGAAGTTCTAGATGAGGCATGAGGAATGTGTGGTCCTCTAGATGTTGTGGACTCCAGTTCCCATCTTGCTTTAGAACAGTGGTTCTCAACCTTCTTAATGCCGCGATCCCTTAATACAGTTCCTCATGTTGTGGTGACTCCCAACCATATCATTATTTTCATTGCTACTTCATAACTGTAATTTTGCTACTGTTATTAATCGTAGTGTAAATATCTGATATGCAGGATGAAT